ACCACTTATTTCACCATATTATTATATAATCAATGTAAGTATCTTCATGATGGCAACATACTATTGAGTGGGTATAATGTAATTTTGTATAATCCTCCCTTTTTAAAAACTTTTTGTAGGTTTTTTTTTTATTTTGCAATTTAAAAGAGGACATTTTCAATGATATCTGTGTGAAAATTTTGCTTTTTCAATTATTTCCTTAGGGTGAGATCGCTATAATGCAAATTTTAGATTAAAGTATATATCATGATGGCAACATACTATTGAGTGGGTATAATGTAATTTTGTATAATCCTCCCTTTTTAAAAACTTTTTGTAGGTTTTTTTTTTATTTTGCAATTTAAAAGAGGACATTTTCAATGATATCTGTGTGAAAATTTTGCTTTTTCAATTATTTCCTTAGGGTGAGATCGCTATAATGCAAATTTTAGATTAAAGTATATAGATGCTTTAAAAATTATTGATTGTATTGCTAAACTTTCAATTTATACTGTAAGCAGTGTACATTAGGGCCTAATTTTCTGCAGCCTTGCTGGTACTGGGCAGTCATGCTATATAATTAAAACAACAGTGTAACAACAAATTTATGCTCTTTTTATAGAAAATTTCTTATTTTAAAAATATGTCTTCTTGGTAAGTGTTCTTCTAGCAGAATAAACAAAATCTAACACACACAGATATTTTTAAAAACTAACAAATATGAAGATCTCTATGTTTGTTGATAATTAACTTTTTTTGAATTATATCATATAATCCTTCTGTTTATCCATTTTTAAGTGATCCAAGGTTCTAATCCCTGTCTTCAACTGCATATGATTGGGAGTAGGGGAATGGCAAGGAGTGAAAAGTGAAGTACAAGAAAGTTGAGAATTGTAGGGGAAATAACTCATGAATTTATGATGAAAATCTGCCTGTACACATCACCTTGTCCTGTAGTAAAGAGCTGAAAAATTAGGGACTTCACAAGTAAGTAGGTAGGCACATAGTGATGATGGTAGTGGATACTAAAGTCTTAGAAACTATTCCTTGTGTTAAGAGTCCTTAGAATATTAGATGTTTTGTCCTCTAGGAAAGAGAAGAGTGCTAGATTTTAAAAAGCTGAATTGGAAAATAATAAAGTCAACTTTTCAATGTATTTGGTATCTATAAATGTAGTTTCCACTTGTATTTATACACATAAAATTATACAGACGAGTTGAAATTAATGACATGAAATTATCACAGTTCAAAGTAAAAAAAACTTTAGTAAACTTCTAAAAAGTAGAGAGATTTCTGATTTCAAAGAAACAGTTTTTAAATTTCTAGGCTTAGAAATATTCAATATTTATATTAAATATAAGTATTATATTTATTTCTGAAAATTGGGATAATAGATTTGTTAGTTGAAAAAAGATTTAGTGGTTTAGTCTACGGCCAAAAGTAGGTACAATATAGTACATTGTTTCTGAGCCCTAGTTATAATACCTAGGTTTCCAGTTTTTATTTTCTAGATGTGCAGTTATCCCACAATTATCATACAAGATACCTTTAAATTTATAGGCATTTAATAAAGAAACAAAGACAGCTTGTCACAATCTTAAAGGGACAGTTATTGAGAAACTTTAATTCATACTGCTAGTGGAACATTTGGGAAATTATGTTTTAGTTCTCTTGTTTCTGAACAATTTGAGGATCAGGATTGTGTATTATTATTTTTTAAAAATACATTTTTGTGCCTACTATAGCCTGGCATATTGTAAAAGCTGATTATTATTATTATTATTACTATTTAAACTTGGTATGGGTTTGAGTGGAATAGGAGTATTGCAATAATTCTTCATTTCAATTTGTTTCTTTTCTATATTGAGGCAAATTTTTTTTAGAAAAGAAGCTTTAAAGTAGGACTTTTTTCAAACTATATTTTATGGAAGACTAATTCTGTGTGAAGCTCTGGTCAAATAAGTTTGGACAGAGCTGGATATCATATCCTTGTCTTAGATGGTATTAATTTAGGCTAGGATATTAAAAACTTGAGAAGTCTTGCAGTAAAGAAACCTGTTTGTTTTGCTTCCAGCCAGCGGGCAAGCTAGGTACTCTGGGGGCTCCTTCTACCTCAAACCAACTAAATCAAAGATTAAAAAAAAATACTTGTTGATGTATTTCTAGACTTCGAGGAAATGGGAGACATTCCCCCAAAAGGGACAAACTATGAGGCAAAACCAGAGATGAGAACAATAACAGTAGGTATGCAGTAGAGATTCAGGTTGCCCTGAAGCCAGATGCCAATAACTATAATGCTCTATATGTAAAAAACTAAGCTTTGGACCAGCATATTTCTCAGTAGTAATATTGGAAGCCAGAGGACAATAAAATAATAGCTTTAATGTTCTGAGAGAAAGTAAGTTTCAACCTAGAATTGTACACCTAGCATGAAATTTTCTCTATTCTTGAAATATAGGACATTTTCAGATAAACAAAAACTATGAGGGTTTATTGTCACATAGATTTATACTAAAGGATTTTCTGAAGGATAAACTTCAGGAAGGAGAAAAATAAGAAAAAAATCTGAAATATAAAAGCAATATTTAAAGAAAATAGTAAATGTATATGTAAATATAAACAGATAGTCCCTGTATAAAATAATAATGGCTTTTTACACTTTATAAAAAGACTGTACTAAAGAACTGGCCAATAATAGGATATAAGTCAGAGGGAAATTACCACAAAGTATTCTAATGTCCTCCTTACTCTTTAAGGTATTATCTTTCTGTAGAACTTAAAGATGCATAGTAAAACTTCAAGGGCGAGGATTAAAAGTATAAATTAGGATGTGTAAATTCCAAACCAGAAGAAGAAAAAAAAATTAAACAAAACCAAATTTACTTAATACTAAATATGTTTTATACACACACACACACACACACACACACACACACATCCATACCCCTACGTACACGTGCATATATATATACACACAAAACCACTTATATGTACATACAAAACATTGGTGTTTACATATATGTATATAAAAATATGTATGCGTGAAGGAGCTAGAAACCAAAAAGTAAGGTAGTGGAAACATTTATAATCAATAGTTTAAACTTGTCAGCTAAACACAGATTTTCAGATTGATTTTAAAAGAACTTTCTGCTGCTTAAAAAGATATACCTTAAGATAAATTTTAAGGCAAAAAGCGTTATCAGGGTTATAGATAATTTTTAATGACGAAAAGTTCAAATTACTAAGATTTTTAAACATGTAAGCATTTAATAAATTAGTCTTAAAATGAATAAAGGAAAATTAATATGATTACATGAGAAGTTGACAAATTCTCCATCATAGTAGGAGAACTGCACTGCTCATGCAATTACTGATAGGACAAACAAATAAAATTAGTAAACACGTAGTAGACTATTAACATGATGATTTTACAAACTTATTGCACAGTACTTAAAAGAATACACCAAAATTCAGAGAATACATTTTTTCAAAGCACACATGGAATGTTTGGTTTTTTGGTTTTTGTTTTGTTTTGTTTTTTACCATATTTTGGGCCATTAAGCAGGTTCCAAAAATACCAGAACTGGTATCATTGTTTCTCTATTTGGTAAGTTCTTTTATATTCTTAACTTAACCTGACAAAAATTCTAGAAGCCTGCAGTAAATGTTCTTAGTGGTGAAATATTAGACACATTTCCATTAAACTCAGGAAGAAGGCAAGGATTTTCAAATTTAGCTTCTATTCCACATCATATTGGAGGTCCTTAGCCAAAGAAAGATAATTTGAAGATGTAAGGATTCTAAAGAAATAAACTCAGGATTTCATATTATGTAATTATCCACAAGGAAAACCCCAAAGAATCTATAGAAAATTTGCTAGATATAATACAAATTTTAATAAGATAGCTGATTATAAGATGAACATGCAAAAATTAATTATAGTAACTCAATAAATTTGTTAAAAATTAATTTCATATCCACTTACCAGGAATATAGAGTTTAGAAGCACTGTTTAAAATATACTATAGTAACAAAAACCATATAATATCTAGGAATAAACCTAGCAAGTGTGCAAGATCTGTATGCAGAAAAAAATTATAAAATTTTACTCAAAAACAATTTAAAATTATATAATTAAATGGAAGATTTATACTATATTCTGGAATGGGAAAACTCAATACTGTAAAGGTGTCAGTTATTCTCAAATTGATCTATAAGTTCAACATAATTAAAATAAAATCGTAATAGGGTTTGTTGTGGAACTTTACCAGTTGATTCTAAATTTTATATGGAAGAGCAGTGGACCAAGAATAACCATGACAAATCTGAAAAACCAGATGGAAAGGACTTGTTCTCTAATATCAAGACTTATTTTAACTGTATTAATTAAGACAGTGTGGTATCAGTAGAGCTAAACAAAGAATCTAAAGGAGCAGAATATAGAGCTCTAAAATAGACACATGCACATACAAAACCTTAAAAGTAGCAGATACGCCACTAAAGATCCCTGGGGAAAAGAAAGTCTATTAAATTAGTGATAGTGAAGCAACTGGTTATGTATATGGAAAAAAAACTAAAATTGGACCCCTACCATATACTACCAAGTAAAATCATTTCTAGATAAATTCAGACTTAAATGTGGAAGCCAAAACTTCAAAACCTTTAGAAAACAAATGTAGGAGATCTTTATTACCTGAAGTAAGTGAAAGTTTCTTAATAAGAAACAGAAAGTACTAAACATAAATTTACATACTTAAGATTAAGACCATCTATTCATTAAAAAGTACTTTAAAGAAAAAAGACTAGTTATAAACTGAAGGAAGATATTTGTAACATATTTAAGAGATATAAAAACCACAAATTAGTAAAAATGACAGCCTACCAAGAAGCAGAGGGGAAAAACATGACCAGGCATTTCACAAAAGAGACAACATAAATCCCAGTGTAAATCTAAAAGATATTTAACTTTATTAGTAATCAGATAAATGCAAATTAAGACCATAACAAGATACTATTTTATACCTACTTTAGTGGCAAATATTAAATTTGACAATGGCAAAATATCTGGTCTGACAAGCTATGTTAATGAAAGTATTAATTATTACAAACACTTGAGAAAATAATTTGTATTAGGTGAGGGTGAACATTTGTATAAAACCTTTAGAACTATTTAGAGAAACGCTTACACATGTACTAAGTGACATATACAAGAAGGTAACTGTCAGTGCTGTTTATAATCTGGATTTGGTCCCTTCTATCACTGACCTAGACTACAAAAATAATAAATGTAATATTTGATAGATAAATTTTTAAAGGCCAGAGAATGTTCTAGATTAAATGAGACTGAAGAGACATGATAATTAAATGTAATACCTGATTTTAATTAAATTCTACATTAAAATATAAGAACTATAGAGAAGCATCAGGAAATTGGGGAAACTTGAACATAGATGTATATTAATATTATTTTATCACTTTGAAATTTCTTAGATGGGGTTATATTGTTGAAGTTATGTAAGAGAACATCCATATTATTGAGAGATATATGCTTAAGTCTTCAGGGGTGAAATCTTATGATATCTGCAGTTTACTTTCATGTGTTTTAGCAAAAGGGTGTTTGGGTGTTCATTATAATTTTGTCAAATTTACCATCTTTGCTGTAAGTTTGAAATTTTTCAAAATTTCAAACAACATATTATTTAAGGATGCATATATATTTGTAACAAAACTATATAATAGACAATACATAAACAAAATTTAAGACAGTGGTTTCTTTAAGAGGAGAAGTTCACATAAGTCATTCAGTGCATTGGTAATGCTCTGATTTGTGCCATGGATTCATGAGTGCTTATATATTTTTACTGTGCTTTGTGACTTACATATATGTGGCATATTCTTTTGTATATATCATGTCACATTAAAATAAGAAGAAAGAAGTTGAATTGACTGAGCTATGTAAAAGGAGGGGAAATAAAGTTCATGACATATTTCTCTGAGGAAAAATTTTAACAAGGTCGGGATGGGGTAGAATCACATTTGCGTGATTTTGTCTGACCCAGTATTTCCCAGACTTATTTCACCAAAGATAGTCTTTTCATATAACATACCTTAAAGTTCCATTGAATTAATGGTACCAAGAGTTTTTTCAGGAAATGCTGCAGCAGGACTAACAAAAATTTTAAAAATTAGCTTGTTGATAAAAGCAAACTTTATTTAACGTATATAAAAATAAATGCTATCTGGTTAAATTAATGAAAAGATTTTAACCTTGGCTTTAGAAAGAGAATTAGCTTATTGACCACTTCTATCCTGTAACCCCACCCTGGGTTTTAACTCTGAAAGGATCTCTCTTCTTTATATGGAACACTTGTTTATAAGAAGTTGTCTCCAGATTTTAATTTTTTTCTACAACTAGACTGTTTATGTACTGTCTTCAAAGTGAAACCTATAATAACCTAGAATCATATATGTCTATTCCTGTTCAGATGTATATGGACCTATGCTCATATTGATGAGAATGGATTAGATGTTGCTGCAGCAACAAAGCACTCTAGAATTTTAACAAAAGTTCATTTCTCGCTTAGCACTGCATGTCCTAGATGGGTTAACAAGAGGCCTTGCTCCACACAGTCATGCGAGGATTCTTGCTGTTGGAATTTTTACCATCTTATAGTTGTACTGTTTAGAACATTTAGATTTTCAGTCTCTGCACCAGATTAAGCCAGACTAGGAATTGCCTTGGGAAATTCAGCCCAGAAGTGACCCACATTACATATAGCCACAATACTTTGGCCAGAACTAATCATGTATGGAAATGTAGGCGAGCAATTCGTCTCTGCCATAAATAATAGTAAGACTAAATCGAAATCATGTCAATCGTGGCAAAAAAATAATTTATGTTGGCATGTTCACGTATCTGTTTGTTTGTAGTTAAGGTTTTATTTTTGAACTACATCTTAGACATTGAAAGTCACATGTAAATCATTTAACTCTACTGTCACTTTTTGGTATTTTATGCAGGTCTTTTCCTCTTTGGGTTGAATATAGATAATTGAGATATGATGCATAAATAAATCAAAAAAAGGAGCTAAAGGGAGAATTATTTACATAAAATTTATATGTTAATATTTCTGTTTTCTCATTTTCTTTATGGCAGCATGAAAACATTCCTTTTGAAGACAGGATTTCATCAGTTAAAGTGGTAAGTTCATATAATAGTAAGCTAAACGTTATAATGGCAAAACAATATTCATTGTTAATTTATTTGCAGATCAGCTAATGCTTTGTACATACTAAATATATGTCAGTGTGTAGAGAGTAGATAAGAATAGTAAAGTAATTGAATAAATGTTTGTGTGTACTGTTTTTGTGTAATAAAATAGAAAATTTGGTCTTGGATGTTTAGCCAAGAAAAAATAATCTTGTACATTAATTCGAAATCAGTATGTATTCAGGATTAATGACCATGAGAGAATATATGTGAATTTTCTGAATTCCCAGTCACAGTGACTTCTCCTAAATACTGAGAATACAGTGAAAATCAAGACAAAAATGTCCTAGACCTACTGGAACTTCCAAGTCATTATAGTTCTCTACATACAAATAAATGTGAGATAAGGATAGCAAAAAGGAAGAAGTGGGGCATTAGGAATGTACATAGCAGAAAATTAAAAGTAGTTTTCCTCTTTGAAGAAGTGATGGCTTAACTGAGACCTCAGAGATTAGTAGGAGCTAGTCAGGCTCAGTGGAAGAGTTTATGAGCATTTTAGGCAGAAGGAACAGTGCAAATTCCTGGAGAAAGGAGCGCAGAGAGCATTTTAGGAGCTGAAGGAGAACCAAAAAGTACTTAAAGCAAGGAAGAAGGTGGCAGGAGAAAAGACAGAATGCCTCACAGAGGCCAGATCCTGCACCTTCTTAGCAATCTTAAGGACTTGAATTTATTCTGAGGGCAATTGAAATATCTTGAATATTTAAGAACGTGGCAAGATCACATTTCAGATTTTTTAAAGATTACTCTGATTAAAATGCATAAAGTAGTTCAGAAGAAAGCAAAAGTGGATATAAGAACTATTGTGCAACTCTTGCAAATTGAGATGAGAGATGAAGATTTCATAGAGAAGGTGGTGTCTTTGAAGTACTCAGGAAGAGATACGTTAATGTTTATTTTGAATGGTGGACGTAACAGTTTCTTTGACTCTTTCTTTTCTTAATTTCTCTTAGGATTTTCTGTGGCATCCAGAAGTTAATGGTTCTATGAAACAGTGTATCAAGGTGTGGACTGAGGTCTGTATTTGAAAATGTAGACCTTTCTGGTTTTATGAAACCAAATTTTAAAAGCTCATATGCATCCACTGTTTTTCTCCCCTTCCTCACCTGTCCCCCTTTCCTGTACTTTATACATCCTTCTTGATAGCAACTAAGCTGTGCTAGATCGAATCTATCACTTTACTGAGAAGAGAAAGTATTTTGATCCAGTATCTCTGTTATCACTATTCTAACCCTAAGATAATTGTGCTTATACCACACTTTCCAGACTTAAAATTTTTTGTTACTGCTGTCTCAGTTAATTCAAGCCCAAGTAATCTTTCAGCACAGTACACATTCCCTTGAGCATTTTTCCACTTTGTCCTTTAAATTATGCTCAGGTACTTCAGAAAACTTTTTTTTTTTTTTTTACATTTTCTTCCCTTTTATCTCTACATTTGTGACATAAAAGTTGAGACTGGAATGTTTTGGCTTATAATGTTCAGAGATAAATTATATATAAAGGCAAGCATGCTATTAAGATCAGAAAATCCCTAAGTTCCCACAAGCCCACTTTAGAATTTCTGTGGTAGTCTCCAAATAGCTCCTCGTCAGTCCTTTAGTTAAAAATGTATTCATTCCAAGAGGGGTTTGCATTTGGGATGGATAAAACAATGTTCAGTTTTGTTGACCTTATTTTGTTTAATTTACTTGTATTACAGAGGTAGTTTTCTTTTCTTCTTTTCACAGTATATTTAGGACTATAACTACTTCATACACGAAATAAGCTTTTTAGGATTTGGTGGGAAGCTAGTCAACATTTCTAACTTTATTTGTGTGTGTATGTGTGTGTAAATGTGTTTAAGTTTTTAAAGAAAACAAACATGTAGATAGCTTCTAAAATTCAACTTTCTGGTAAATTGAGGTCTCACATAATTGTATTTTGTATTTATTGATATATTTTTAAATGTCCAGAAGTATAGAAAAATTTATGTGTATATTTCAAATGATTTAACATGTTTCATATTTGTGAAGGTATATCCATTAAAGTAGTAGAAAATCATAGTTAAACAAGTATCAGTTCAGTATAATTTATAGGTCCTTTAAGTTTATAGAAAACCTTTGTTTTTTACTAACCTGGAGGTATATTTCACATCGAGATTTTCAGTTTTTATAATTTGCTAAAACTAGTTTTTGTAGCTTGAGATTCTGTTGTAAAATTCCTTATGATTATTGGAGGAAAGGAAAGATTCACCTTCTTTAAGTAGGTAGCCATGTAATTACTTAAGATTGATTCATTGATTGGTTTTGTTTATTCAGAGACTATGTCTGTATTTATGTATTTATTTTTTACTGTTTCCGTAGTACGCTGCTAGATCCTGAGAATACAAAGACCCGTTTTCTTATGTATATACTATTGCTAGTTTTTGTGCTCCATATTAGGATTGTGGCTGGGAATTAGCCCACTCTCAGCCCTTGAAGGATTTGCAATCTAGTGGATAGTGACTTTCTAATGAATAATGATATGCTAAGATGAAGGGTAACAACAGATTGAGTACAAAGGACCATGAAAGCCCCATAGATCAAGGCACTTAGGATGGGGGTTGGTAAGAGTATAAGTGATAATCTAAGAAGCTTTACAGAGGAGGTAGTATTTCCAGAGAACTATAGGTTGGAAAGAGATAGTCATATGCCTTATATAAATCTATAGGCATAAAAGCAAAGTCGAATTTAGATGATTTTGCTGTTATTCAACAGATACTTATAAATTACCTGCCATGTTCCAGGCACTGAGCTAGACACCAGATTAGACACTGTTGATACCCTGGTTAACAAAATAGAGTTCCTCAAAGAGCTTCTAGATGAGTGGCAGATACAGGTAATTAAGGAAGCAATGTGGCAAGTGCCAAAATAAGGGAATTATAGGGTATAACATCATTACAGAGAGTAGGCATGAAATGTAATTTTAAAAGTTTCAAAATTAGTTTTCAGATACAGTAATCTTAAAGGTGAGGATCTGGAGTGAGAAATGAGTTATCCCATGCAATAGAAATAGCAAATGCAAAGATGCTCAAGATATAGTCTATTCAGGGAATCACCAGCAGTTTTTGTGTGACTAGAGCTAGAATTCAGAATGCTCCTTTATTTATGTTTGGCTTTGGTTGTTAATATGTGCTTTATTTTGTGAGAGAGTTGATAATAGATGAGGTAAGCAGATACTAGATTGTGAATAATATCCTAAGCTATATTCGGTGGCTTGCAGATTTACTTTATCCATTTTTTGAATACTTCTTAATACATCAAAGTGTTATCTTCTAAAAATAAGGATATTGGGTTGAATTCATTTTGAAGGCAGTGGAGAACCACTGAAAGCTTTAAACAGAAGAATAATGCAATCGGTGATATAGTAGTAGGAAATTAGGCTAAATTGTGAAGAAACCAGCAATTTAGATTTAATTCTGTCAGTGAATGGTAGTCATTAAAAAGTATGAGCTACTTCGATGGACTTGGGGAGTCTTGGTATGGAGTGAGACGATATTTGAAATTACTTGAATGGAATAGGCAGAGAGTTTAGAGATTAAAGAAGAGAATTTAGGAACGGAACTATCCAAACAATTATGAGAAGGGGTGGTAAAAGGGGTAAGAGGAAAACAAGAGAAGAATGTCATATAACACACAAGAAAGGAAAGAGTTTTAAAAAGTGGGCAGTCAGTCACTTTAGGAACTAGGTAGGGTAGAATGAAGCTATAGGACTTGGCAATCCAGAGTTCATTAATGGACTCTAAGGGTGAATTATGAAGCCTGAATGGTGAAGCCCGAAATCAAAACATGGTAAATTGAGGCATAAATGAGAAAGAAATTGGCATAGTGAAGGCAGAATGTTCTTCCAAGTAATCTTTTGCTAAGGGTGTGAGGAAAAGAATTTGAGAGTGAGACAAAGTTGAAGGAATATTTTTGACGATAAAGGTGATTTAACACTGTGTAGACTGAGGGAAGGAAGGAGTGGAGATGAGGGATAACATTGATAATACAAGGGTTGAAGGAGATAATGCATGGATTTAGCCCCAGAAGAAAAAGGAAGGGATATAGACAGAGTAAAGGGTTAGCCACTAAGAGGATAGGGACATATTTTCTTTAGTCTCTTGTCTGAGAAGATGGGCTTGGTGAGCATATGGGTGAAGTAAAAATGGAAGAAGGAAGGGAAGGCAGGAGCACACAAGCCAAGTGAATTCTATTTTCTTTGAAATAGAGAACGAGACTTTATGCAGAAAGTGAGGAGAAGGACAAGAGGGAAAGTAAGATTTGGGATAACCACTGTGAGGAATGAGAAAGGGAGCCATCTAGGAATAAGGAAAAAATTTCACTGAAAAGACAATGTAAAATGAAGCACTAAGTACTTTCTTTTAATATAGCTTGTTTTAATATAGATTCTTGCCACCCATGAGATAGGCAGGGAAATATTCTACATATCTTATAAAACGTGGACACAGGCTCAGATTGATTAAGGGTGCTAGACTGGAAAGGGGAATATCTCTGAGGAAAAATAGGTTAATTTTGTTATTTTTCTCTGCTTTTATAGTTTTCTATGAAAGTATATATTACCCTTATAATAAGAGAGTAACTCATTTTATTTTTACGTATAGGTCAGATTTTTTCTAATTTTCCTTTTTTAATTGTCCCTTGTGTAATATCAGGTCTTCTATGTTGTGGGAAGCATTGAACTCAGGTCAGAAGACAAGTTCTGGCTTTGTCCTTGGCAGGCTTTAGCAGTACCCTGTCTACCTTTCTGAGTACAATTTGCATTTGATGAGGATTTCTGCCAAATTTCTCATTTTTTCTGCATTGGGGTCTATAATAACTATCAGTTTATTTTGTTAAATACATATTGGATTTAGCTTTCCCAAAAGATTATGTTTCTTTAGGGCATGGACCTCATATTTTATTTAACACATAAACTGCGTATTCCATGAATACTTTTTAATTGGCTTACATACTAGAGCTTTACTCTTAAGCAATTTACTCACAATTCAAAATAATATTAGGCCATAACTGGATTTCAGTAGTATTTGCTATTTTTTTTTTTTTTTTTGTAAAGAAGACCAAAGAATTAATCCTACAAGCCTCATGCCATCCTGAATAACCATGTAACTAAGTATGGTTGTTTAGACATTGGTTGTCCATCTTGTTGTAATATTCAGTTAAGGAACTCTAGAAAATTAAAATATAGTTAGAAAGAAGAACTTGAATTTAAGGAAAAAGTTAAGCGATGTTACTTTTATTAATTCTATGAACTGGATATAACACATTACAAGGATTTTCCTTTCTTTAGGATTCTGTTGCAAAGCCTCATGTGATTGTAGCAGGAGCTGCCACAGTAAGTTATTATCTGTATTGTTACGTATGATTTTTGTTTCATACTTAAGGACATGCTAAGAAAAAGTTAACTTCTGTTAAATGGAATTCTTGATTGTACTTGTATTTTAATTCCTTTTTCTATTATAATTAATGTCTGATGAATTTTAATAAAAAGACCTGAATGAACTTAGGAAATTTGATGTTAAATGTCAACATTATTTTATATTGGCTTTTTCTAACTGCCTTCATATATTGCATGAAATAATTTGACCATAATTCTAACATTGAATAAAAATGAGAATTATCTTAATAACCTTTGTTACAGTAGAGTAAATTATATACTTAAATTTTTCTGTGATAAATACTGAATTAATGCTTAATTTTCACTTCTTCTTAGTGGTCTATCAAGATTCATAATGGCAGCAATGAAGCGCTTTCCCAATATAAAACGAACATTACCTCCATAGCACCACTTTTAGAAAAACTGGCAAAGACTAGTGATGTTTACTGGGTCTTACAAGGTATGGAATGAGTAATGAAAAAAATGTCATTTTGTATATATTCTGAGGAATAGGTTTTTATTATCTTCTGTTTCAAGAAACAAAATTACTGCTTTATGAGAATAAATTTTGAAATAAGGTTTGCAAAATGAGAATAAATGTGAGTTATTTTCTTTCTTTTTTTGAACTTAGGGAACAGACATCTAATAAATATAAGTAAAAAATAAATAATAAATAAATAAAAATATCTTCCAAGGAGCCTCAACAGGCAGAATACATTCTAAAGGCAAATAAGATGCTTACCTCTGATTTTTTATTTCTTACAAAGTATACTTAATATGATTGGGAAATATAGGAAAAAATTATTAGTCTTTTTCATAACATTAGACTCATTGGAAGTAAATAGCCTTTGGTATTGACAGAATGTATTTAAATTCATACCATCTAGTTTATACTTGATAATGAAATTCTTTAAGAGACAGTTGACATTAGATCAACTCATTTCAGAAGTTTACTGAATGTCCATTATTTAATGCCTAATACCGTATAGGAATCTTTGGGTTTTTTAGCAATTCGACTTTTCAGAAACTCATGATTATTTCTAAGTTGAATGTCAAGCTGAGAGAAATAAAAGGGCTGGTGATAATCTGTATTTATAGACTCATTGTTAACCTTTCTTTTACTAAAATGAGAAAAGGCTAAATTATTTATCGTAAGTGATAAGAGACCTTGATCCTTAATAATATTACCTCTTAATTGTGTGAACAAAGTTTACAGAATTAGGCAGTGACAGGAAGACGAAAAGACTGGCTACTATTCTTAATTAGACAGTCTTCTATAATCCAGTTTTAAATTCCCATTACCTAGTATAATCCAACATCCACAAATTTTAAACTCTTAAAATATGCTGGAACATAAAAATGTCTCCTGAAAGTTTTATACCTGACAGGAGGCCTAAAAGTTGTTTAAATTTGGGGGAGATATTGATTGATTCAAAAATCGAATATAAGATAGGAACGCTATTGCAAATCTTGGCCAGCGTTATTTAAAAATGAATTATTTGGTTCCTGGAATCCTCTGAACTTTAACAATAAAATATGAAATGCAGTCAACTAACTTACATGATCACAATTTGTACCAATAGAGATTTGTTTTACTGTGTTTTTAATAATGTATTTCATATGCAGATCCTGTTTATGAAGATCTATTAAGTGAAAATAGAAAAATGATCACTAATGAGAAGATAGATGCCTACAATGAAGCTGCAGTCAGTATTTTGAATAGTAGCACCAGAAATTCTAAATCAAATGTTAAGATGTTCAGTGTTTCCAAATTAATTGCTCAGGAAACCATCATGGAATCTTTGGATGGCTTACATCTTCCAGAAAAAAGCAGAGAAACTGTAAGAATTCTTGTATCCATCAGTAGTTAGAAACTATAATATCTAAATGGGTATGGCTATAAGTTACTATAAGTGGTAATAAATAATTATTTTATTGCATTCTTAATTACTTGCGGTTATTCTATCTAAACATACATCTAGAAGTAATTTTGCTTTCATCACCTAGCTAAATATATAAATGAGAGTTTTAGTATACTCTAAGAGTGAAAGAAGTTATGAAAAGAGGAAATGAAACTTCATTTATTGAGTCAGTCGCTCTTAATATACCTTGTCTTATAAGAAGCTTATAAGTTCTCAGCACACTCATGTTTGAAATAAATAAAATAACACACTGCTGCTTTATGTTCTTGCCTTAAACCTTAAACTTGCAAGATTCAGCTTCTGCAAAGAGCACATTTTTTATATATATAGAATAATTTTGATTATTTCCTTATAGTTCTTATACTCTAAACATTATTCAAAGTACATAGTAGATACTAAAAAAAATCCATATTTTCAGATGGAAAGGGATGTTAAGTATGAAAGAAAACTGCATAATTATAATTTTTACACATAGTATAACAGATATTATTTGGAGTTACTGTTTTATAAAGCAGTGATTCTTAACCTTTTTGAGGATCACATAACCCCTCTGAGTGTTGGATAAAAAGGAGTGGTTCTGTTCCCACCCTACAGAAAAATGTGTTTGTGTATCTACAGACATGGTTCTCGATATACTTTAAGGGGTATTTTGGACCCCCTGGAACTGATTAAGAACCTTGAGATGGAGTTTATAGGCTGGCATCTGCAAGAGTGCCAGGCACAGAACCTCCTGAAGTCTCAGGGCTGAAAGGATGAGATTTTCTAAATAGTAGAGTACTTTGAATGCTTAGGCTTAAATAATGTAATCATCTAAAAGTTCCAAAGATACCTAGACTATAAGTTTCTATAAAACTAGATTTGACTTCACCTTCAACTAGACAGAATCTTGACAGCTTGCCTAGAATATTTTTATTATAATGAAACCATGTTGAAGATCTCAGATTTTATTTAACATTAGAAATCTTAAAACTGTAGAATCCTAAATGGTCCATAAACTGTAAACCAAATGAAAGGTGTATTACAAGTATTGTTAGCTAAGAATTAATTATAATTTGTGGAAGTTATTTTACATTTTTTTTCACGTCTAAAGACTAGGACTCTCTTAAATATCCTATTTCTGTATTGAACGTCTGCTAATTAAAATCCATTGGTCTTTGACATCTGTCAGTATTTTTCAATTCAAGGCCACATCCTATTAGAAGCCTTAAAATCAGTATTAAAAAAAAAAAAAGAATAAAATAGAAAAATGTCAGAATGCATTCCAGGTAGTAAGGATAGGTATTATTTCCCATGTATGCATCTGGGTCACATTATAAAATGAGTTTTGTTTT